AAGGTGTACGGGAAGCTACTCGAGTGGCGCCGCAAGGGAACCACCGTGTCAGTCGGCCGCCTCCAGGAGTGGTCGCGGGAGTTCATGAAGCTTCAGTACCCGGACAAGAAGTGGAAAGGAAGCCAGAGGTGGTCGGAGCGCTTTCGGCGGCGATGGAATCTGAGCGTCCGCATGAAGACCCGGGTTGCCCAGAAAACCGCCGCGCGTAAGATTTACCCCATGTACTTTGCCACGTGGTTTTTAGTTTATTTGTACTAACACCCTCCCTCTGTGTCCGTCCTCTCTTCCACCGTCGTACAGATGTCGCTGAGCAGTGCCAGAGCTTCTGGTCGTTCGTGTGGGCTAAGCGTCGTGAGCGCGGCATCCACACCGCGCAGACGCTGAGTCGTCCACGTGCTGTTGACTGCACCTGATCAGCGACGTCAACCTCGGGATACCACCTCCGAGGTTGGCTTCGCTAGGATCACCTGGGCGACTGTCGCGCACCTCCGCAGATCCCTGTTTCCCGGGTAATTTGGTTGACTGGGCAACCACGTTGGCCAAGTGCTGCTCCTCGTGCCCGTCGATCACGAAGTTGGCCACTCCCTCCAGGTCGACCACTTCTGGTCGACCAGACCAACTGTCCTCCGACTTCACCAAGTCGGCTAGCCAGGCCGGCATCACCAAGTCGACGCCCTCCTCAGGCCGACTTCGCCAAGTCGGCCTCTCTCCAAGGTCGGCGCCCCCCCCAGGTTGACATCTCCCCTCGTCGACCACCGGGTTGAAGTCGGCCGCCGGCTCCCTGAAGTCGGTGGCTTCGCAGTGGCCCCGCGCAGGTCGACCAAACCCGTCGACCTGCTCGCCTAAGTCGGCGTCGCACACTGCGGCAGGTCGGCTGCACCTCCCGTACACCCGACTATGAAGTCGGCTCCGCCCAAGCGAGGGAGGGGCCAACACAACTCCCGTTGACAACGGGCATACGGAGAGAGATTTAAGAGACTGGGATGCCCGCCTAACTTGGGTAGCGGCGGGGTGTCGCTTCAGCAAGCAAGCAGCTCTCAAAGACCTATCACCGTACTATCTGCTGCTGGGGAGAGAGCCCATACTGCTAGTGGATGCACCTAGACTACTGATAGGAGTGGTGACGGTGGACTCGGAAGAAAGTTGGGTGGGGCTAGCAGAAGCACGAGCGAGGTACCTGAGGGAACTCCTACCAGCAGTCCTGGAAAACCTGCACGTAGCACAACTGAGAGATGCCCTGAGATACAAGAAGAGGAAAGAGGAAGAGCTACGAGGAAAGAGAAGGAGCTGGGAGTGGGGGAAAAGGTCTACCTGAAGCAAGCTATACACGACATGATGGACATAGGACTGAGCACTGAACGGTGGAGAGTAAAGGAAGTGAAGGAATCTGGGGTGGTGGTTCAAGTGAGTGAGAAATGACAAGAGAGGCAGGACCACCGGACCAATGTGGCTAGGGCCAGGCCAAAGAAGGGAGATGAGGAAAGGGGCCAGGTAGAAGCAGGAAGAGAGCAGCAGCAGCCCTCTCAGGAGAAAGTCCATCGGCGGACAGGAGAGAGAGAGAAGCTGAGGAGGGGGCAAGTGACTGAGGCTGCTGAGAAGACCAAGGGGATGCACAGAGAAGTAAGAGCTCTGATGGGGTGAGGAGGCAAAGTGCAGGAAGGGGAAGCGGTGGGACAAGAGCAGAATGAAGGGAGAAGACCTACCACAAGAAGAGTTCCGACACGTGTTGTATTTTTAATTGCAGGAGTAGTAACAAATAATATAAAAACAAGACAAGTAAGATGTATAGGAGAACCTTGTAGAGAATATGGCATCGGGCGGGACCCAAGTGAATCAAGCGAAATGTTGGTTCCGTTGCAAAACAACGGTAATCAGTACGTTGAGTACTTAGGCAAGAGCCAGAAGAGTAGTGCCTTGCTCGAGTGTTTGTTTTCATATCTAGCTTAAGTGAGCATAATTCTATCCTTGCGCCAAGCACCCGGAGAAGCCAACCTTCGCAAGCCAGTAAGGCACTAGTGTGTTATCAGAGAGTCTGCCAAGTTAGTGTACTGTGGAGGAATGATACAGCCCGCCAGAGCACAGCTTATTAACCTGTGCCTGAGGCTGCTGAGAAGACCAAGGGGATGCACAGAGAAGTAAGAGCTCTGATGGGGTGAGGAGGCTAAGTGCAGGAAGGGCAAGCGGTGGGACAAGAGCAGAATAAAGGGAGAAGACATAGCACAAGAAGAGTTCCGACAACGTGCATGTTTACACTTGCTAGGTTGTGAACAGTGTACTGTCATTGCTATTATAACTCAGCATGTGAACTGGCCTTGTAGCCGCTTGCTTGTGCTTGGACCGCATGGTGATCTTCATATCCACCCTGAGCTTTGCTTTGTTTGTTTCTCTTGACCTGTCTTGCCACCGCTTGTTGTTCCCCACTTCGCATATGGGGGTGTGTCAAAGTATGCACATACCGTATCCTCCCGGACAAAACACCCCCCCTGTAATAGTACACCCACGGGTAGCTTGTGCGAGGTGGGTGCTATAGTCGACCTCGTTTGTACTATACCCCCCCTTTTGGGGTAATTTTCTACAACACTCCCTTTTTCTTACAGATTCATATTTTAGCTGTTCTCGAGTCAGATTCCTTACGGGAGGATATCTCGAGAATCGCTCCCTAGATGAAATTTCGCGTGTACTTTCACTTAGAATCTGCCGACATTTCCCCCCGCCCACAATCTCGCTGTCGCCACGCTGGCGAATCTTCCGCTGCAAGTGGACATTTCCCCCCTCCCACATTCTCGCTGTCGCCACGCTGACGAATCTTCCGCTGCAAGTGGCGCGAGAGGTGAAACTCACATTCTCGCCAAAACTCACATTCTCGCCTCAAACTGTGATGCTGAAACGACCATTGAATCACCCAAATTGTCTAATTAAAAAAAAACTCTTACACTAAAATATGCCATATATAACCACCCGGGTATTATGTAGGATTTTCCGTTGAGAGGACCCCCCCCCCCCCCCCCCCCCCCCCTTTTTTTCCCTGTGGTTATCATAATACCCCCGGGTGTTATGTCCGGGAGAATACGGTATGTTACTGTAGGCTATACTGGGGTACACCATAGAGGGGATAACCCATTGGGGTTTCATACTTGTTTCTCCATCATTCCTAGTCAATCCACTCCGCTGTACTATTATTCTGACAGTCACATCGTCAACAACCCATTTTTTTTCAAATAATTCATTTATAACCTCCGTTATCCTTGTGTATCACTCGCTTGGCTCTCAAAACGTCGTACACCAGACGTTATTACAGCAAGAAATAGGGTGTATCTGGTTTGTGCTGGAGCTGCGAAGGACAGGGGGGTAAAAACTATTATAACGTCACCCCCTGATCCCAACAGTTCATTTTTAGCGTAAAACACCACTAACAAGTCTGATTCGTACATCAACTTGTGTAGAATGCAAAATCCCTTATTGAGACGCATTCAAGCGAGCCTTAGATCGCGTTCACCCATTTGCGATTCAGATCGCTCGCTGATGCAGGCGCATGCGAGTGAATTGTTACAAACTCGCATACCTGCAAGCAACCACTTCCTCACCGCTCTGGTTGCCATCCGTGCCCATCCCGATCGCCACTCTCATCCACTCTATCCTAGCTCCTGTCCTACATCGCAGTCGGAGAGCGTTAGTGGATTGGATGTTCCTTCCTGCCTGATTTGCGTGTGTTGTCAACCATCCGATCATGGGCTTCGAGTAACATAGTGCATTTCAGTTGTGAAACCCGCGCACTCGTAACAGTGATACTACGCTTGTAATAAGTTGCCTACACAAGCCTCGCGATAAAACCTCAAGTGTACATGTATCCGCATGGTTGTTAAGCATTGTTGACCCGGAAGCACTGCTCTCAACAATGTTAGAGCAATACATCAGAAGGGTTTGCGCGTCAGTTTCTTTCCGACGAAGGGTGGCGGAAATAGTGGCGCCAGCGAGAGCAGTAGCGAGTGGCGGCGGCAACAGGGGTGGCGCGATCCGTGTGGTAGAGGCCGCAGGTGCCATGCCGTCCACATCGGTGCTTCCAGCGGCGCTGCTGACGGCACAGGCTGCGCCAAACACAACGCCCGCTGCGATGATGGGACGAGCGGCCCTTTTGGGGATTCTACGTGACACTGAACGGCCGCGTGGCGGAAGAATAGGTCCCGACGCTTTATTGGGTCGTGGGATTGTGAGTACAGCTGCTGCTAGAGGAGGCAGGATTGAGGGTTTTGGGAAGAGGGGAGGAGACGAGGGAGAAGGGAGAGAGGAGGGAGGAAGTGGGGAGGCGAGAGAGGAGGGGGCAGGGGGAGAAGGGAGAGAGGAGGCGGGAGAGGGAGGGAGAGAGGAGGTGGGGGGGGGGAGGAGGAGGGACGGTGCTGTGGCATGTGAGCGGGGGGCGCATTGCGCCAGGTACGGCCATGTGCACGCACTTGCTCGCTCGCTGCTGCTGCACGCACGCACCGCGACTCCCGCACAAACCGCCTCTCCTGCAGTTCGTTCATCCCCTACTGCTCCCCTTATAAGTCCCGCCATCTCGTCCGCACCCTCTCCCGAATACCCCTCCTCACCATCACTCTCCCATTACCCCTCCTCACCATCACTCTCCCATTACCCCTCCTCACCATCACTCTCCCATTACCCCTCCTCACCATCACTCTCCCATTACCCCTCCTCACCATCACTCTCCCAGCACCCCTCCTCACCATCACGATCCCAGCACCCCTCCTCACCATCACGATCCCAGCCGTTACCGTGTCAAGCCCAGTACCCCTCCTCACCACCAATATCCCAGCCGTTACCATGTCAAGCCCATACGCACCTCTTCTCAAGTGGCTCCACCGCCCGGCCGCTCGCCCCTCCCACCAGCGCGGCCACCCTGTCTTTCCTCTCCTAGGCGTTGGGCCCTTCCTGCCTCACTGCCCCTCCCTCCTCGCACGCCCAATTGTTTTTCCCACCCGCCCTTGCTTCCCGTTTCCTAACAGGTCGCGCCCTCATCTCGCTGCATGTACCCCGCGCCATACCCGCGGCCCCCACGCATCCCTCCTCCACCTCCTCTCCCTCCTCCTCACCCTTCCCCCGCAACCCTGTGCATGTGGCGAGGGATGAGGTGGGGGTTGAGGGCGCGGCGGGGGAGGGCGTGGCCAGGGAGGGCGTGCGTGTGCGGGTGAGGGGCAGCGCAGTCGATCTGGCGTCCATGGGGGGGCTCTTCCTCAGAGAGCGGGTGAGGCTGCTGTATTTCAATCAATCATTCTGTAGCTTCTGAGTGCTTCACAGAGAAATGTCGTGTGCTCAGATCCGCTTGCAACGACTGTGCTCTGCTGCGCATGCAATGCAAGCGAGTGTTCCGAGTTCATCCCGCATCGGACTCCTCTTCTGCATCGCACCCATCCGCCCTCTCCCCTCAATGCCTTCCTTCTCTTCGTACCCACTCTCCATTCTTCTCCCCTCCTGATTGGCAGGTCAGCTGGGGCCAGGAATGGGTGGACCAATTGCGAGCTGACACGTGGATGCATGCCTTCAGCTTCACCGGAGCACAGCAGCAGGAGGCAGGGAGGGAGAGGCAGGGTTGGGATGAGGGTGGCGACAGGGGCAACAGCGACAAAGATGTGAAGAGCGGAGGGGTCAGTGCTGCAGGTTATGCTGGTGCTGCACCACAGGAGAGGGACACTGGGAATTCAACGGCAGAGGGGGAAAGTGCTGGGACTGCAATGCGAGAGGGAGGGAGTGCAGGGAGTGCAGTAGATAGTGGTGACAGCGGTGCTGTTGACGTCTTCCAAGTGTTGCTCGACGCCAGCCACGGCACCGCAGAGGTGAGGATGGAGACAGGGCTGACCAGAGGACAGGGTTGACCTGTGGCAGTTTGTGTTTGCTTTTTGTCTCACTGTTAGGTATATGCACGTCACGTTCACTCAACCAATGCATGTGTGTACGCATGCATGCGTGTGAGAGTGTCTCTGTGTGTGTGCTTGCATGCATGCGTGTGAGAGTGTCTCTGTGTGTGTGCTTGCATGCATGCGTGTGAGAGTGCTCTGTGTGTGTGCTTGCATGCATGCGTGTGAGAGTGTCTCTCTGTGTGTGCTTGCATGCATGCATGTGAGAGTATCTCTGTGTGTGTGCTTGCATGCATGCATGTGAGAGTGTCTCTGTGTGTGTGCTTGCATGCATGTGTGTGAGAGTGTCTCTCTGTGTGTGCTTGCATGCATATCTGTGAGAGTGTCTCTGTGTGTGGGCTTGCATGTGTTCACCAATTCTGCGTGTGTGTGCGTGTGCATGTGCATATATGCGTGTATGCATGCCGACGCCTGTGCATGCCCGCAACGGCATGTGCCCAACATTGGCAGGTGCTTGTGGAGCTGCCTCTCCGTGCGCACTCAGGCTCACAGCCCTTTTTTAAGGCGCCAAAAAAATATACCCCACTGACTGCTTGTGCCCCGCATTGGCTTGGCAGGTGCTTGTGGAGCTGCCTCTCCGTGCGCACTCAGGCTCACAGCCCCGGTGGGTGCTGGTAAAGCTGCTCCTCACTGTCGCCGACCAAGCGCCCAATCGCCTCCTCGTTCGTGTGGCTGCTGGATAAAACTCAAGTGTCAGATGTTCTTGATATTTGCCCGTGCAGCTTAATTTGTGTTATGTAGAGTACAGAAGTACCGTGTACGATATCAACGCCTCTTATCAAATGGATCGTCGGGGACGGTTTGGTGCTTTCATTTCCAAAAGAGGCCCTGTTCTAACAGACAGAAATGGTCTAGTCTCATATACACACTGGCTTTTTAGGTCTTGGCCCGAATGATCAGACATATTTTCTTGTACCGTATTATTTTTTACGAATTGTAACAAGTCTGTATCACATTGAAGTTATGACTTGTCAATGTTGTATCAAATTAGGGTGTTTCTAAATCTGAGTGCCCAATCCGTTGTCAGATTACAATTGTATCTCTAGGCTACAATAGGGTCACTCCTTAGTGAGTACAACACTTTAGGGTTTGGTTTCCCCTTCTTGTACTCACCTCTTGCCTAGTTCAATCCATCATTTCCTAGTTCTATTCTTGACATGTTATCAGAGTAGGAACCGTTCCTACATGGGCCCACCGTTCCGCCTAGTGGTAGCGCCACGCCCTACACAGTAGCCAGCGCGCTGGCGCCCCTAGCTCTCACTGTCGCGACCCTTGCAGCCATTGCGCTGCCCCTGCGACCGCGCTGCCCCTGCAGCCGTGCTGCCCCTGCAGCCGTGCTCGCCCCTGCTACCGTGCTGCCCCTGCAGCCGCGCCTGCCCCTGTGGCCCGCGCGCTGCTCCTGCAGCCCGTACGCTGCCCCTGCAGCCCGTTCACGCTGCCCCTGCAGCCAGTTCACACTGCCCCTGCAGCCCGTTCACGCTGCCCCTGCAGCCCGTTCACGCTGCCCCTGCAGCCCGTTCACGCTGCCTCTGCAGCCCGTCCGCGCGGCCCCTGCAGCCCGCGCGTCGCCCCTGGAGCCCGCGCGCCGCCTCTGCAGCCCGTCCTCGCGGACCCTGCAGCCCGCGCGTCGCCCCTGGAGCCCGCGCGCCGCCTCTGCAGCCCGTCCTCGCGGACCCTGCAGCCCGCGCGTCGCCCCTGGAGCCCGCGCGCCGCCTCTGCAGCCCGTCCGCGCGGCCCCTGCAGCCCGTACGAGCTGCCCTTGCAGCCAGCGCGGCGCCCCTGCAGCCCGCGCGTCCTGCCCCTGCAGCCCGCGCCCTAACGCAGCCCACGAGTCGCGCGCTGCTGCCTCGCGCGTCGCGCTCTGCTGCAGCCCGCGCGTCGCGCAGCCCGTCGCGTCGCGCTCTGCTGCCCCTCGCGTCACACACTGCTGCAGCCTACGCCAGCGCCCTGCCCTGCGCGCGCTGGCGCCCTGCCCTGCGCCAGCGCCCTGCCCTGCGCCCGCGCCCTGCCCTGCGCCAGCACCCTGCCCTGTGCCAGCGCCCTGCTATACCCTAAATATAATTAAATTGTAAAAAAAAAAAAAAAAAAAAAAAAAAAAAGAGGACCCTAGGTGCTTCTGCCCTAGGAGCTACTGCCTACTACTGCCCTGCTCTGGCCGCGCGCCGCCCTGCTGCTGTTACTACTGCTGCTGCTGCTACTCGTGCTACTGGGAGTGGAGGAGGTGCTGCTGGGAGTGCAGGAGGTGCTGCTGGCGCTGTAGGAGCTGCTCCTGACCGTCACTGTCTGTCATGGCCACTTCCGCGGCAGTTGCTGCGGCCAGGGGTGGACAGCAGCGGGCACTGCTTCTCCCGGACGAACCCACCCCTCGGCAGCTTCGTGAGTGGGTTATTCAGCGAGGTCGTCCTGGTGGTGGAGGTTATCGTTCTGTTAGGACTGCTGCTCTTGGTGTTAGTGAGTCTGCTGCCGCTCCAGGTGCTAGTGAGTCTGCTGCAGCTCTAGGTGCCCGTGAGTCTACCGACGCTCTAGGTGCTAGTGCGTCTACTACCACAGGTCCTGCCTCAGCTGAGGTCTTGCACACTTCCACACTTGACTCAGGCGCGTCACGTTGCTTCTTCCGTGATTGCACCACAGTCACACCACTCACAGCACCTGTCCCAGTCTCACTGGCTGACCCCTCTTGGGGCCCAGTGGATGCGAGAGCCTCCACGGTCCTCCCTTGTCCAGCAGTCCCCTCCGGCTCTTTGTCAGGTCTCCACCTCCCCACGTTCTCGACGAACTTGGTGAGCAACGCTGCCATTCAGGATGTCTGGGCTGATACCTTTATTCCTGGAGGGCAGCGTGTGGCGATCTGTACGTGCTCCCGGACTGGCCGTCACCTGGCTACGTTCACTCGTCTGCCTGGGTCTAGTCTGTACACACTGACCACTGCGTCTGCACAGGTGGCTGAGTCAGGTCAGGTAGCTGCGTCGAGTCGAGCGTCTGCGTCAGGGCAGTTAGCTGCGTCTTGCTCGTGCAGAGTACTCACGCACGAGACGCAGCGCTGGCACCACCGTCTTGGTCACCCCTCCCTGCAGCGTCTGCGCGGCATGCACTCCCGGCTCCTGGTCTCTGGCCTCCCTGAGACCCTGCCCCCCCTCCCGCGCTCACTTGCGCCGCCGTGCCTTCCTTGCGTCGAGGGGCGGCAGCGCGCCGCTCCTCACTCCTCCGAGTTTCCTCCGACCACTGCTCCTCTGCAGACTCTCCACCTGGACGTGTGGGGCCCGGCCCCCGTCGGTGGGACGGACCAGGAGCGCTACTTCCTGCTGGTTGTTGACGACTACACACGCTACACCACAGTCTTCCCCTTGCGTCGCAAGGCGGACGTCAGCGGTGTTTTGATCCCCTGGATCCGTGCTACTCGTCTCCAGCTACACGAGCGCTTTCATCAGGACTTCCGAGTCCTGCGTCTGCACTCTGACAGGGGTGGTGAGTTCTCTTCTGGAGTCCTTGAGACGTTCTGCCAGGATGAGGGCATCGCCCAGTCGTTCACGCTTCCGGCCTCTCCGCAGCAAAATGGGATCGCTGAGCGTCGCATTGGCCTGATCATGGAGGTTGCTCGTACCTCCATGATCCATGCGGCTGCTCCCCATTTCCTGTGGCCGTTTGCGGTCCGATATGCCGCGCATCAGCTCAACCTCTGGCCCCGTGTCTCTGCTCCAGAGACCTCGCCCACACTTCGTTGGACGGGACAGCCTGGTGATGTGTCGTCGTTTCGGGTCTGGGGCGCGCTCTCCCTTGTTCGCGATACCAAAGCGAGCAAGCTCTCTCCTCGCACTCTCCGCTGTGTCTTCCTGGGCTTCCCCACCGACGCTCCACCCTGGCAGTTTTACCACCCTGCCTCGCGTTGTGTTCTGTCCTCTCAGGACGTCACCTTCGACGAGTCGGTCTGTTACTACCGACTTCACCCGCACGCGTCCCACCCGGTCCCCCTTGCACCCCTCTTCCTGGTACCAGTCCCCCCCCCGGTAGACCCCCTCCCCCCACATGGTCCTGCTCCCTCAGGTGTGTCCCAGGTAAACCCACCCCCCTTGGATGAGCCAGTTGAGATCTCTTCTGACTCCTCTGACTCACCTGAGGGGGGTGACGCCGTCGCCGACGACACGGCGACCACTCGCCACACTCCTCGCTTGGCGACCCCCCCGGGTTTCCCGCCACGACCGTCTTCGCCGCCTCCGCAGCCTGCTGCTGTGGACTCTGGAGCTGAGACTACTGGAGCTGGGGCTGGGGGTGGTGAGTCTGGGGGTGCCCGCTCTCCTCGTTTGGCTACCCCCCCCGGGTTCCCACCTCTGCCGTCTTCGCCGCCTCTGCAGCCTACTGCTGTGGACACTGGAGCAGAGACTGAGGGTGCTGGGACTGAGGGTGCTGGGACTGAGGGTACTGAGCCTGAGGGTGCTGGGACTGAGGGTGCTGGGACTGAGGGTACTGAGCCTGAGGTGTTAGAATGTTGAAGTGAACGAGAATGGATGAACTAGCAGAAAGTTGGGTACAAGTAGGAAACCCTAAGTTTGTTGTATCCCCTAAGGCTAAACCCACTATAGCCTACACAATGTAAACATATAATGTTTGACACACCCCCATAGGCTAAGTGGGGGAGAGCAAGGGGTCACAAGACCAGTCAAAGCAAGGCAAAGCAAAACAAGCTCAGGGTGGATCTCAAGGATACCACACAAATTCCGAGCACAAGCAAGTGGTCACAAGACCAGTTCACATGCAGTTTGAAAATAGAACAAGAGGTACAGTGATCACAACCTAGCAAGTGTAAACATGCAGGTATATATATAGAGATCACAGTACAAGCAGAGTCAAGAAGTGAGCAAGTGAGGGAGAGTAGGCACAAGGCCTAGAACAGTACAGAAACGCTGATGATCACAAGGCTGAAGCGCCTTGGTGAACACATCAGCAGTGTTGGCCCGAGTGGCCACGTACGAGAGACGAAGCTGACCACGCTGCTGCAGCTCTCGAGCAAGGAAGTAGCGCAGAGCGATGTGCTTCGTTCTGTGCTCCAGTCTGTGCCCCTGACACAAGGCAATGGCTGCCTTGTTGTCGACGTACAGTACTGGAGGAGAACGAGGCCGCTCTCCGAGGTCGGTCAGCAGGTAGGTGAGCCAGCGTAGCTCCTGGGCAGCCATGGCTGTGGCGTAGATCTCAGCCTCACAACTAGAGCTGAGAACAGAGGAAGAGCGTGTAGAACGCCAGGAAACAGAGCCAGAGCCAAGGCTGAAGGTGTAACCCTGAGACGACCGCTGCGTAGCCTGGTCGTCAGCCCAGGAAGCGTCTGAGTGTCCAGTGAGGACAACGTCGCGCCGTCCTCCAAGCACAAGCCCATGCCCGACGTACTGCACAAGTAGCGCAACACCCTCTTAGCGGCATCCATGTGCTCCTTCCGGTGACGGCCAGGAGCGACATAGCGTGCTAGGATGCTAAGAGGGTATGCAAGGCCAGGTCGAGTGCAGGTCATCAGGTACATGAGGCAGCCCACAAGCTCTGGATATGGGCCACTCGGCTCTACGGACTCATCCGAAGGCAGAGCTGAGAGCGAGTGACCGGTAGGCAGAGGAGTGGGTTTAGGAGGCGAGGAGTACGTGAAGCGGAAGCGCTGAAGGACCTGCTGCACCATGTGTGACTGAGTCAAGGTGATGGTGCGCTGGACTCTGTCCCGGGTGATCCGCAAGCCAAGATAGCTTGTCAGCTCACCCAGGTCTGTGCACGTGTGTCTCTTCTGCAGCTCCGACTTCACGTGGGCGAGTGCCTCAGTGTCAGCAGTAGCAAAGACCAAGTCGTCGACGTACACGAGAACGTAGAACGGCGGCAGAGTGGTGTCAGTGCGTAGAAACAGCGACGGGTCAGCAGTAGAAGGAGCAAACCCAAGAGCCGCAAGCGTAGTCCTCAGTGTGTCGTGCCACTCACGGGGTGCGTGGCGGAGACCGTAGACTGGCCGCCGGAGGCTCCACTGGGTACCAGGAGGGAACGACCCTGTGAAGCCAGGTGGGCGGCGCAGCCAGATCTCCTCATGCAGGTTGCCCTGTAGGAACGCAGTGCTGAAGTCAAGAGAGTGGAGCTCGTAGTCACGCTGAGCAGCGACGTGCAGCAGAACCCGAAGAGTGGTCATCTTCGGGATCGGGGAGAAGGTCTGGAAGAAGTCAACTCCCTCTCGCTGACTGAAGCCTCGAGCAACGTAACGCGCCTTGAAGACAGGCGGAGAACCCGGCGACCGCTTCACCCTGAAAATCCACATGCCACTGACGATGTTCGCCCCAGGTGGGGGAACCTCGTCGACGTAGGTGCCTGTGGACTTCCAGGAAGCCATCTCTGCGTCCATGGCTGTCTGCCACTGAGAGGAGTAGAGACCCTCCATCGCCTCTGCGTAAGAGCGTGGGGTCGGGATGTCTGGTGCATCCGGGTCTCCCTCAGGGGCAATCAGCATGGACACGAGATGAGGTAAAGCAGCAGCAAAGCACTCAAACTCCTCCTGTCTGTCCTCAAGGACGTCCGTGCCAAGAGCACACTCACCCCCGACGGACGGAGGACAGACAGACTCAGACTCAGCAACAAGGCTAGCGGCGTAGTCTAGACGACAGGCGGCAGCAAAGTCCACAAGCTCAGCGACTAGAGCAGACGCAGCAGTGGACTCAAAGGTAGGGTCAGTGACAACAGTAGCGAGGAAACGCGTGACAGTAGGACTGGCAGCACGAGCAAGGTCAAACGGCGGGTCAGCAACATCAGGAAGAGAGGACGCAGGAGGAGACGGCAGAGGGACACGCTGTGGAGCAGTGGAAGGACGCAGGGTCATATAGTGAGTGCCAAGGACAGGAGGAGGACGCTGACGCGGAGCACGACGACCAGCGCGGACAGGGGACTCTGGACGCGACTCAGGAGACGCGTGACTAGACTTAGGCGACGGAGGACGGGGACTCAGGCTCACGACGCTCCGTAAGACTACCCGTCGGCGCAGTGTAAGGAGAAGGAGCAGGCAGCGGAGAGGCAGGCTGTAACTGTGACTGCGACTGGACAGACGGTGGACTCAGTAGGGGAGGAGAAGGACCAGGAGAGGGCGGGAGACCAAGAACCTGCTGAAGGAGCGGAACGTAGTACGGCCGCGGCCGCTCAGCACCTCCAGCTCCAACCCCCTCAGCAGGCCCAGTCCCAGCAGCTCCAGTACCTCCAGTACGAGCACCTCCAGGACCAGCGGCTCTAGCAGCTCCAGCAGCACCAGCACCAGCAGCACCTCCAGCAGCGCCAGCAGCACCGCCAGCAGCAGCAGCACCTCCAGTAGCTCCAGCAGCACCAGCATCAGCAGCACCTCCAGCAGCGCCAGCAGCACCGCCAGCAGCAGCAGTACCTCCAGTAGCTCCAGCACCAGCAGTACCTCCAGCAGCGCCAGCAGCACCGCCAGCAGCAGCAGCACCAGCACCAGCAGCACCTCCAGCAGCGCCAGCAGCACCGCCAGCAGTAGCAGTACCTCCAGCAGCTCCAGCACCAGCAGCACCTCCAGCAGCGCCAGCAGCACCGCCAGCAGCAGCAGCACCTCCAGCAGCTCCAGCACCAGTAGCACCTCCAGCAGCGCCAGCAGCACCGCCAGCAGCTCCAGCACCAGGGTCCGCGACACTAGGAGCGCCACTCCGGAGACTGCAGCGCCGAGCGTACCACTCTCGGAGCCGCTGGGGAGAGGGCAGCTCCCGCCTAGGAGGGGAAGCACGAGCACCAGCTCCAGCAGCGCTCCTAGCTCCAGAAGCACCCCTCCTGAGGCTGCAGTACTGTAAGTACCACTCACGCAGCTGCTGTGAGGAGAGAGCTCCTCCAGGTGTAGCACTCCCAGGCTCAGCACCCCCAGACTCAGTACCCGCAGACTCAGCACCCGCAGGCTCCGCACCCCCAGGCTCAGCACCCCCAGACTCCGCAACCCCAGGCTCCGCACCCCCAGGCTCCGCACGCTCAGGCTCAGCACCCCTAGCAGGACGAGAGTCGACAGCTACCTCGACAGGGTCAACCGGGTCTACCTGGGACACACCTGAGGGAGCGGCACCCTGAGGCACCTGGCGCGAGGAAGAGAGGCGGGGGAGGGAGCGGGGGAGTGCGGTAGGGGAAGAGGCGGTAGTAGGGCACCGACTCGTCAAAAGTGACGTCCTGAGAGGGCAGGACACGGCGCGAGGTGGCGTGGTAAAACTGCCAACCAGACGCGTCCGGGACAAAGCCAAGGAAGACACAAGGAACATCGCGGGAGGAGAGCTTGTCCGCGGACGTATCGCGGACAAAAGCTCGAGATCCCCAGACCCGAAAACGCGACGCATCGCCAACCTCCCCCGTCCACAGCAGTGTGGGCGAGGTCTCCGGCAAGGAGACACGGGGCCAGAGGTTGAGCTGATGCGCAGCGTACCGGACCGCAAACGGCCACAGAAAGTGGGGGGCAGCCGCATGGATCAAGGAGGTACGAGCGACCTCCATGACCAAGCCAATGCGGCGCTCAGCAACCCCATTCTGCTGTGGAGAGGCCGGAAGCGTGAACGACTGGTGGATGCCGTGCTCCGCACAGTAGGCTGCCAAGAGGTCGGAGGAGAACTCACCACCTCTGTCAGAGTGCAGACGCAGGACAGGAAAGTCCGAGTGGAACCGCTCGCTGAGCTGGAGACGAGAAGCGCGGATCCAAGGGATCAAAACATCAGGGACCTCACCCTTGGTGTGCAAGGGGAAGACCGTGGTGTAGCGCGAGTAGTCGTCAACAACGATCAGGAAGTACCTCTCCTGACCCTGTCCACGGACGCGGGCTGGGCCCCACACGTCCATGTGGAGCGTCTGCAAGGGAGCAGTCGTCGGGGGAAACGAGGAGGAGTGAGGAGCGGCGCGCTGCCGCCCCTCGACACAGGGAAGACAGGGACGAGCAGGAGAGGGTGGGAGGGGAGGGAGTACCCGGGGAAGACCAGAGACAAGGTACCGTTCGTGCATGCCACGAAGGCGCTGCACTGACGGGTGACCAAGGCGGTGGTGCCAGAGGACGGTCTCGTGTGCTAGAGAGCGACACGAGCAGGGGGCAGACAGCTGACCTGAAGCGGACGCAGACGCAGCTACCTGAGGGGACTCAGTGGTCAGTGTGTACAGGTCCGACCCCGGCTGCCGAGTGAAGGTAGCCAGGTGACGGCCCGTCCGAGCACACGTGCAGTGTGTCACGCGCTCGTAGGCAGGGGTGAACTCGTGGACGCCCCCGTCCTGGAGCGCACAACCCGCCACCAAGTTCGTAGAGAACGAGGGGAGGTGGAGACCTGACAGTGTGCCCGACGGAACCGCAGGACAAGGAAGGACAGTGGAGGAGGTCGCAATGACCGGACCCCCAGAGGGGTCAGCAAGGGAGACAGCAACTGGCCGAGCAAGCTGCTCAAGGGCAGTGCGGTCACGAAAGAAACAGCGAGAAGCACCTGAGTCCAGTGTGAAGGTGTGCAGTGCCTCAGTAGACGCAGTACCAGAGGGCGCAGACTCATGAGTACCTAGAGCAGCAGCCTCACCAGCACCTGGGGCAACAGACACACTAGCACCTAGAGCGGCAGCCTCACCAGCACCTGAGGCAACAGACACACGAGCACCTAGTGCGGCAGCCTCACCAGTACCTAGAGCAGCAGACTGGATACCGGGGTCAGGCGGCACACTCAGGTGACAGGCACCCTCAGCACTAGTAGACAATGCATACATGGCAGTGAGGAGAGCATCATAGTCAAGAGCAAAGATGTCTACCCTCTGTCCAAGCAGCTCCACCCAGTCGGGGAGCTCAGCGTCGTCGCCAAACTCTGTACGCCAAGCGTCACTCAGACGGGCGAAGCAGTGGGACTCTGTGTGACCACGCGTCCCGCAAGGCTGACCAGTCCAGGCACCCGTGCTAATAACGTACGGGCAGCGAGCAGTACTCAGCGACCCTCTACTCTGAGCGTACCACTCACGAAGCTGCTGGGGCGAAAGAGGGTCGCGCGGACGACGCTGCTGCTGCACCGGGCCACTACAAGAAGTTCCCGAACTACCCACTCCAGGACGACTCCCACTACGGCCACCCCGACAACCCCAACTGGCGTACCACTCACGAAGCTGCTGGGGCGTGAGGGACACACGCGGGCGGCCGTGGAGCTGCATCTGGCCACGCCAGGAGCAGCAGTAGCAGCAGTAGCAGCAGGAGCAGTAAAAGCAGTAGGAGCAGTAGCAGTGCGGGCAGGGCAGTGCTCACCAGTGGTAGGAAGGGCAGGCGCAAGACGGCGGCGACAGTAGGGCCGCTACAGCTGTAGGGCGGGGCCGGGCCGCAGCAGGGAGCTCCGCGGCATCCGCTGCAGGGCGGGGCCGGGCCGCGACGGCAGCTGCTCCAGGGGCCAGGGGCGGCTCCTGCAGTGGCGGCTGCTCCAGGTGGTCAGGGGCGGCCGCTGCAGGGGCGGCTGCTCCAGGGTCCAGGGGCGGCTGTAGGTGCGGCTGCTCCAGGGGCCAGGGGCGGCTGCTGCAGTGTCGGCTGGTCCAGGGGCCAGGGGCCGCCGTCCCAAGGGCGGGCGCGGGGTAGGGCAGGGCGCCGCGGCGAGTAGAGGCGACCCCGCGCGGGTCCCAGTGGCGACGCGCGGGTCGCGTGGGGGCGTCGCGACGAGGCAGGGGCGACGCGCGCGGGTCCCGGTGGCGACGCGCGGGTCGCGCGGGGGTGTCGCGTCGAGGCAGGGGCGACGCGCGCGGGTCCCGGTGGCGACGCGCGGGCCGCGCGGGGGCGTCGCGTCGAGGCTGTGGCGACGCGCGTGGGCCCGCAGAAGCGCCGCGACGAGGCGGGGGCGACGTGCGGGTCCCGCAGGGTCGTCGCGACGAGTCAGGGGCGACGCGTCGCGGGGTCCAGGGGCCGCGCCTCGGGGTCCGGGGGCGGTTGCGCGGGTGCAGAGGAGGCCCGCGCGCTGCCTGTAGGGCAGGGCGGCAGGGTGGCGCTCGAGAGCGTGAGGAGGTAGGCGCTCGAGGGCGCGGGTAGGGGGGCACGACGGCGCTAGGAAGAGGCGCTCGACGGCGCTAGGAAGGGCGCACGACGGCGCTAGGAAGGGCGCTCGACGGCGCTAGGAAGGGCGCACGACGGCGCTAGGAAGGGCGCTCTACGGCGCTAGGAAGGGCGCACGACGGCGCTAGGAAGGGCGCTCGACGGCGCGAGGTACTATCAGACACGGTCGCGCAAGGGCGCGGCGGAACGGTGGGCCCTAACCAACGTTGGTCCTAGGTCGTGACCTAGGCGTCGGATACCATGTTAGAATGTTGAAGTGAACGAGAATGGATGAACTAGCAGAAAGTTGGGTACAAGTAGGAAACCCTAAGTTTGTTGTACCCCCTAAGGCTAAACCCACTATAGCCTACACAATGTAAACATATAATGTTTGACATGAGGGTGCTGAGACTGAGGGTGCTGAGACTGAGGGTGCTGGGACTGAGGGTGCTGAGCCTGAGGGTGCTGGGACTGAGGGTACTGTGACTTTGGGTGCTGACTCTGGGGGTGCTGAGACTTCGGGTGCTGACTCTGGGGGTGCTGCGAGTCCTTCTGGAGGTCCTGGAGTTGGAGGTACTGGAGCTACTAGGCCTGGAGGTCCTACTGGAGGTACTAGAGGTACTACTGGTGCTGGAGGTACTGGAGCTGCTGCTGGTGCTGGAGGTGCTGGAGCTGGAGGTACTAGAGGTGCTTCTGGTGCTGGAGGTGCTAGAGCTACCACTACTGGAGGTACTGGAGCTGGACAGCCACCGCAGCCTGCTCTACTTGAGACGCTCTTGCCGCAGGCGATTCGTGCGTGGGTCGTTCTGCGAGGCAGTCCTGGTGGTGGAGGGTACGGTCCTGCTGGTGCTGGAGCTACTAGTCCAGGAGGTGCTGCTGGTGCTGGAGGTGCTGGAGGTACTACTGGAGGTACTAGAGGTGCTGCTGGTGCAGGAGGTACTGGAGCTGCTGGTGCTGGGGGTACTGGAGCTGCTGCCGGTGCTGGAGGTACTGGAGCTGGTGGCACTGGAGGTGCTGGTGCTCCTGGTGCTGGAGCTGCGGGAGCTGCTGACCCTGGAGGTGCTGGTACTGCTGGTGCTGGAGGCGTTGGAGCTGGAGGTACTGGAGGTGCTGGAGCTACTGGTCCCGGAGGTGCTCGTACTGGAGGTGCAGGAGGTGCTACTGGAGCTGCTGGCACAGGAGGTACTGGAGGTACTACTGGTGCTGGAGGCGCTGGAGCTGGAGCTGGAGGCACTGGAGGTGCTGGAGGTACTACTGGTGCTCGAGGTGCTGGCGCTGTCGGAGCTCGTGGTGCTGGAGGTCCTGGTGCGACTGGTGCTGGAGGTGTTGCTGGGGATACTGGAGGAGCTGCTCGTGCTGGAGGTACGGGAGCTACTGGTGCTGTTCGCCACCTTCTCAGTCTTCCGCCAGGTGCTACTGGCTTCCCTGTGGCAGGTACTACTCCTCCATTGCTGTGTCCGCCAGCGGACCAGTCACAGCCACTGCTGCTACCACACTCCCCACTGCCTGCTCCTGCTCCTTACACTGCGGTGTCAGAGTCCCTGACTGAGCGTCGAGAGCCTGAGACTCGTGCTTCCACCCCTGAGTGTCGAGAGCCTGAGTCTAGCTTTGACCTTGCCGCTGTCCGTGCTCGTGTTCCTCGTGTTCGTCGTCCGCGTGCTCCGGCACTCACGATATGACACTCTGTCCTTCCTCTGTTCCTCAGCGTGTTGTACTACCGTTACCTCCTGCGTCCTCTCTGCCTGACGTTGCTGACCCCCCGTCTGACCTTGCTCGTGCGTCCAGTCCGACTGTTACTCGCCTTCT